TGTGGGGGGGGCCACGCGGCAACAGGGGGTGGGGGGGAAGAGCGCGGTAAGAGAGGGAGGTTGGGTGGAGTGGGTGTGTTGAAGGAGGAGGTCGGGGACTGGGATCCCCCGAGATACCGCAGCAACGAGAATCCTAGGTCTGGCTGCGAGCCAGTAGTAAATGTAAATGTATGGTGTGGAGAAAAAGGCTTCTCAAAGCCGGGGGAGCGAAAAAGAGATATCAAGATCCAAACGGTACACGGCCGATATTACACATATAGAGCGAGAGGGTCTCACACGGGACGGGTTTCTGTTTTGTGGTGATGGAGATGGGGGGGGTAGACGTTGGGCCTGGGTTGAATGTGTGTGCATATGTATGTCTATAGGTTGAACGGGGACCCAAGACAGGAAAGGACAGAGAGGTAAACAAAAAAAACACAACACAACACAAACCCAACCGAACACAAAGGGTAATTTCCCTAGTTAGTTTTAGTCTTGTTTTCACGTGGTGTACAGCACATGCTGTGGAATCCCCATCCCTCTTTTAGCACAACCCTTCACGCCGGTTCAGCCTCCTCAGCACCCGTGCAGTAAAACACACACACACACACACACTCGCACACACACACACACTCGCACACATACACACTCGCACACATACACTCTCGCACACATACACTCTCGCACACACACACTCTCGCACACATACACTCTCGCACGAACAAACAAACAAACACACAGCCACAGCCGCACGCAATAAAACGCGGCTCAGCTCAAATACGGAATCGAATACAGTACAGCTCAGTCCTCGAAGGGCAGCACCTCGCCACCCTCTCTCCGCACCTGTGTAGAAGCCCGCCGCTGTCTCCGCTGCGCTGAGGTCCAGCGGTACGGCACCCGTGGTGTCCTCCAGCACATACCTTCCGTCCTCAGCTCGGCTGATGCAGCCCAGCACGTAGCGGGTCACACCAAACACACCCATCAGGGATTGAAGGTCCGTGAGCTGCAACAGACAGATATACAGATAAACAGCAGAGGGTGTCTGTGGGGTGTGTATGTGTGTGCGTGTGTGTGTATGTGTGTATGCGTGTGTGTGTATGCGTGTGTGTATGCGTGTGTGTGTATGCGTGTGTGTGTGTGCGTGCATGTGAATGTGCTTTTAGGGGAGAACACGGCCGATGCGTGATTATGCAAGGCAAGAGGGTTCCGTGAGCGCGCTTCTGTGTGAACGTGTGTGTATGTATGTATGTATGTATGTGTGTGCGTGTGTAAGTATACCGTGTGTATACGTCGGTCAGATCGTTAACCGCCCTTTATCCCCCCTTTCCCCCCAACCCGCTCCGCATACACCTTCGTCCCTTCGTTTCCCGACACGCGCATTCTCGGCCCCGATCCAAGATGCGATCCCCGCCTTCGAGCCCCGCCTTTTCACCAGCCCCTAGCCCACAACCGTACCTGCACCGAATGCCCCCTGCTGCTGGAGTTTGGCAGCAACAAATTACTTTGTTGGAACATGCGGCTGCGCTGCAGGCGCTGCTGAATTAGCAGCAGCCGCTGAAGGTAGAGCTGGTGCTTAGACTGCAAAGAGATGCGGGTCATGAGCTCACACCAGAGTGGGATGGGGACTCAGGCAGAGGGGCCCGGAATACAGCCGTCGGGTGGGCGGGTGGGGATGCCAACTTTTGCATGGTGTAAAGTATCAAGGGGCAGCACGGCCTGGTAAAGCGCCTTAGTCCGTACCTCAGCTGAGGCATGGATGTGGCGCGGTTTCGTGTTAAGGAAAAGTTTGCGCTGCACGGGGTCGAAGGCTAGATGCGGCACGCTAAAGGCGTCCGTAAATTCCACCAGCTCCAGCTGCTGTATGCCGCCGTTAGGAGCAGCGGCGGCTTGTACTGTTGCTGCAGTGATTTTGCCATCGGCGGATAGTTCTGCGCGTGGGGCAGCCCAAGGCGATGACAGCTGGTGAAGGTCGACTGCGACCGGCGAGGTGCGATATCGTGCATTGCCAGGTGCAAAACAGCATCTTGAAAGATTACATGGGACGGACCAGATGTGCATGCACGGAGGATGTCGTTGAGCGCGTGTAACTGTCCGCCATGCTGTTCTTCAAGGACTTTCGCGAGGGCGGTTACAGCTGCTTCTTCAACTTTTCCAGCCCAATCGGAGTCCAGTAACTCTTTTTTAATCTGCTTCTTAAGTGCAAAACTCATTTTGCAAACTTTTGTCCACCATTAAACCCAGAATGCGACAGCTGAAGAGTGATTAAAGAATCTCGCGCCAGTGCAATAAGTACACAAGCTAATTCTGAGGATTACAACAATCTTTGAAAAGTTAGTAATTCTGGGCAAGAACGTCAAGCTGCTCCAGCAGACTCTTCGCCTCTCCCGCCAAATCAGTCGGTTGTTCGGGTGGTTGTTCTGTGCCGGGTCCAGTGTACGGGCCGAAACCTTACTGCCAATGCCGAAATAGTTTCCGTTTTTTGGACCCTTCTGCGAAACCTGCCGGAACCTGCCGGAACCTGCCGAAACCCTGAAAATGCTGTATTTTATGACGTCCATGGTATGCAAACGTTGTTCGTGGGCCCTATGTGCCTTTGCGCCTCATGGGACCTGCTCATGTGTGTCCGAAGGCACTCCGGGGCACCATAATGTTACTAATCTGCGATTAAAGCTTGAATTCACTGACATTTTTCTTATGTAACTGGCGTCTGATGTTGGGATGCGCAAAGGGAAACTTTTACATGAAGCTGCTGATTCCTGAAGGCGCCCTTGCTTGGACTCGGTCCGGCAGTACTTGCAGATGATAGTCCAGTTCTTACACTTTGCATTATATTTTTTCTTCTCAAAGTGAGCCCAAACGGTCTGATCAGCGGTCCTTCCGCCCTTGTTTTTGACCGAATCTGTGTCTGCACTGACAACGGAAGTTGTCTGAGACATTGATAAGATAAACTCAACATTCGCAGAGTTTCGCAGCCTTGCACAACGCGCCTACACTTTGAAACTATTCAAAGTAGGTTCCGCCGTACGGCGCTAGCCGAAAGGGGCCGAAACTAGTTTCGGCATTTTCCGCAGAACCAGGACCTCTTCGCCGGAAACACCGAAACTAGTTTCGGCAGGTTTCCGTTTCGGCAGGTTTCCGTTTCGGCCCGAACACTGGCCGGGTCTCGAATGGGGCTGCAGAAATGTGACGTTCGCATGGTGTAAGGTCTGCCCCTTAGTCGTCACCATTATAGGGGCTTGCACCACGAAGCAAGCCAAGCGCTGTAACTATGCGCCATAGCAGACGCTTGGCAGACCCATTTTGCATTCGCGCAGGAAAAAATCTCATTACATGCCACCATTTTTACCAATGGCCATCGATTTTTTGCCTTCAGCGCCGATAACGAGCGGCCGACGAAGCTAACAAGCCAAGCAGCTCAATTACGACAAAACCAGCGGACAGTGACATCGGCATCAGCTGTTTCTCTTAGCACGGCTGAGGGATAAAGTACCAAATCGAGAAGTCCGATCACGCCTTGCGCTCCTTTCGTGCATCTCTCGGCTCGTCAGCTCTTCCGCGTAGTACCGGATGGCTCCCACCCTCTCCCCCACCAAGGACCAAACCGCTTCAAATGCGCCGCATCTCGCGCGGCCCACATGGAATAACAACACTAGCAGCAAGCTATCAGCAACAAAGACACAAACGCAATGCCTCTTTCCACTTGAATTGCACGAAAGAAAGAACTATAGCACCCGAAACATATCAACAAGCGCTCATTGAAAACCCATCCCAGGCGTCCTGGGGTAAATGCCGTCACCTGCCTGCCGGAGAGTCCAAGACAATCGCACGGCTGCCAAATACAGGAGCCGCAATGTCGCCAGACGTGACTCGTCTCTAGAGCCTCAGCAGCGGCAGGAGAAAGGATAACTGCACAAAGTAAACCTGCACTGCTTCGGCATTGGCTGCTGCATCCATGCAAATCGTCACTGCAGCACTAGCAGCACGTGCAACACCCTCGTCTAATGAGGGGATTTTAGTCGTACATTCCCAGTTTTATCTCAGCTTGGCGTCATCATAGCAACCATTGCTGTGGTAAAGCTGTCGGAAAGGACATGTAGAAAATGGGGGAGAAAGCAAACGCAAATGGGTTCTAGCGCAACCTGCCGACATGGCTACGCAACCTGTCACGTCACATGTGCGAGGCCAGCACCTGCCGGTTACTGGCCGGCAAGATAAATGTACAGCCTTGTTTAACATTCAGATGTTTGACAAACAAAATGCTACCTGACACCTGACAACTAGACAAAAAGATTCCATCCTCGGGCGCCTATGCCATAACTCCACAAGAAATACCTCTGAACCATATAATACTGCTAGTCACTGCGAAGTCGTATTTCCGGGCGTGCCCTGGTCGAGCGAGTCTCTTTAACGAAACCCATAAACGAAAAAAAAACATCTTTGCGCATCCTAAAGAGAAGAGCGGCAACATCATCAAGCGGGCCAAACGAAGCAAGACTTACGCAATTGTGGGGTACGTCCAGCACAAAAAACCTCCTAAGCTGTACACCATCCCCACAAGCTCTACAATATCTACACCTACATGAAAGACCAACAGGCGTTACTGCTAATGCTTTTTGACCTTCTCCAGACGCATGAGCGCGTGCTTTGGCGGGTGGGCCAAGCTACGACCCAAGATGCGCCCCCCGCATGCCATCTGATAACATGCACCAAGAACAACTCCCTGCGGGGTGCTGGATATCCAAAAGCCTGTCCACCTTTGAACGCCCGGAATCGCACCAGGACAATGGTCACACAGACGGAGCCGCAGCGTGCGTGTCAGCGCAACACCGACGTTGAAACACCGACCTACATGGTGCCCCCTCGTGGCCGATAGCAGGCTTCCTGCTTCCTGAAGATTTTGCGGAATCTGCTGCTGGCGTGCTGGCATGCCATGGGAATGCACCGCACCAAGTTAAACCTCCTCCACTCTATCTATTATACCCCGCATGTCGCTCCCCAACACCTTTGGCGAGGCTGGCGAAGTCCGCGTGTGGTGTGATGTCCAACATTGCTGCAAGCAACCGTGGCCCCCGCCAATCTCCTCATACGGTCTCTCCGAGCTTCGCATCCACGACCACCACCTTGGTGGTCTTGCAGATCATAGCTTGCGCGCCCGCCATAGAGCCCGAGCCCGCCTGGTTCAACTTGAACTCCACTTGCTCCAAGTTAAAAGTCCACACCTGATTAGCGCATGGATGGTACGACACGTTCGGGGTACAGTCACAGCTCAATTGCGGCTGCAGAGTTCCGGGAAGAGACACAGCCTCCTACCCGTACCTCACATGATACCCCGAGCACTAACAAGGGGCCGGTCAATGCCGCAACGTGGTTTGAATGCAGAGACCATGAACAGAGAGCATGGTCGCACGCGGGCTAATATGCAGGGATATATTGATAGGATCATCCGGCTTGATTTTGTATTGGGTTATTGCAAGGTAAAGGGTAACGCATCCTCCTTGACCGGAAGAAGCCAGGGTATTGTTAGGCGGGCCTGTTTGTAAGGAAGTGGGCAATGCCGCTTTTTTATGATGGCCATCACAGCCGGAAGATGGCCATCACAGCCGGAAGGATGCAGTGCGGGCTCGCAGGATGGCTGGCAAGAGGTGGCTACTGCGCAGAGCCAGTTGCCAGCGCGCCATTGAAAGCTATGGCCCCAAGACCCAGGCGGCCTGCCGGCCAAGCCGATGATGAACGCGAGTCGAGGCACAGGGGCCTTGAACGTCAATATACGATGCATAGTTCCAGAACCTCCCATGTTGATTCCACGACATGCTATACGCCCATAGCAGGGAAACGTGTGGCTAACTGCCCTGCAACACGCTTTTCCCCCGTCCGCCACGCATGGGCTCTGCTCATCGCCCAGGGCAGTTTATGTCATGCTATGCTTGTCAGTTCGGGTCCTCCTGATTAGTACTCACGTTCTCGTAGTAGTGGTACGTTTTCATGTTTGCCTTCATGGTGGCCTTCCCGGTCACAAACTTCTTGATGGCTTCGGACATGGACTGCCTCATGTTAAAAAACGCACGTCGGGGCAAGATAGGTTGGTAGGCAGTGGGTCGCTGGGTCGGCTCTTGAATAAGGACCCTTTCCAACATGTGCCGGCTTTTTCACTTGGTGCATGTCAGTAACATGCGACAGCTAATGTAATGTGTTGAAGGCAAATGCCGAGGTCCGCCCCACCGTGTCGAACTGCTTGAGCACCGCAAGGGCCACTTCTTCAGGCAGTTTCCCTTCCTGTGCAAGCTGCTCAATTGTCTCCAATAGGCTCTCCCCCACAGACGTATTGCGATAGATCTGAAATGACATCTCCACTGCAACTCTTCCCCGGACAGCCCGCCCGGCTTGAAACTATTTAGAGTACAATTTGAGTAATAAACATATCAAACCTAAAAGACCCAACACCTAGCAAGCGCAGCCCAAGTGCAGGCCGCAGGAAGGCGAGGAGTAACGAACGTTGAAAACGTTGTAAGGCGCTCGTCGATCATCAAATCCTTATAACAAAGATTTAATAACTAGCAAAACAGACGTTCTTGGACGTGACATTACATTGCAATCAATCTGTGCATTAGCAAAAAGGTGCTGCCGCTGTACTGCAGTGAATGGGCCCCACCCAGGCCATCAAAGCCTTGACGGCTCATCTTTCAGGTCCACAATCACGTCGTCCACGGGGTGTTTTTGTGGATTCCTATCATCCACGATGGCGCTAGCTCTCCGCGGCCTGCGGTCCTGCGTTGCTGGGCGGGTGCGCGGCTTGCCATCTTTTGATGGATACCTAGGATGCACTGCAGCCTGTGTGCTAATCTTAGTCCTTGGATGCTGGGCAGGTCATCCGCCAGGCGCTGAGCCCACGCGTGGCCCCTGCCCCTCTGACCTCAATTCGCGTTCGCTCGCTCTCGACGAAAGCGAGCGCTGAGGTGCTCGCATACACCTCTGTGGAGAAGGTCCGTTTCATTTGATCAACGTGATCTGCATTTCGCTACAGCACGGATGACACTTGTTTTGCGGATTATTGATCGCTGTAACTCAAAGTTGTTGTGCTCTACAGGGCGAGAGGGACACGCTGGACTACCGCATGTTCTTCAAGCAAGGTGGTGAGTGATTGATTGGGTCAATCTATCGACCAAGTAATGTTAATAACAGCCATATCTTGTCAGCATTTCTCCATTGACGGATTTGTCCATATCGCGTTGCAGCCAAGGAGGTATCGTGCTGGCACGAGATCCCCTTGCATGCTGGAAATGGTCTCCTGCATTATATCTGCGAGATTCCTAAGGAGACCTCCGCCAAGATGGAGGTTGCTACGGTGGGTATCGCGCCCTCCTCCTTGATCATCTCTTGACGTCCATGCCCCTTCACGCTTTGTCCCATGGTACCTACGCGCATGCGAACCTAGCTTCATGGACTTTCAGCATCGCATAGCTGTGGACAACTGGGTTCATTCAACCGAAGGCCATGGGTTTGGATTCCAACGGGTCAGGGGCTCCACAATAATCTAGGGACGACCTTATGGTACCGTGTGGGGCGGGCGTTTCGTCTTGAGGCACAAGTGCACGTACATGCCTCCGTATAGCGACCAACGAAATAGTACATGGGTGTATGGTCGCGTAAATGGCATTAGTGCTCTACTGCTGCGGATTACATATCCAGGAACTAAGAAGAATCAGCGCGTTGTGTTAGTCAAAAGACGTTTCTTAGCATGTGACACCCAACCTTAATGAATATGTTAAATCTGCGGCTCAACTGTACAATGCCAAGCAGGTGATCTTCTTCGCTACATCTGATGGCAACAGCCCAAATATTGCTTCTCTGGCTTATGACCCTGCAGGACGAGCCCTGCACTCCCATCAAGCAGGACGTGAAGAAGGGTAAGCTCCGCTTCTACCCGTACAACATCAACTGGAACTACGGCATGCTCCCGCAGACGTGGGAAGACCCTGGCGTGAAGAACCCTGAGCTGCAGGCTGCGGTGAGTTGTTCACTGTTTTGGAGGTGCTCGATGGATTTTCAGTCAGCATGGGATGCTCTCCTGTCCACCAATGCGATGTTAGGCACGTGGTCCTATCTTGTGTTCACGCCATCACCCTCCAAGCGCTTGATGTGCGCTCGGAAGTCAAGGACATGTCAGTCCAACCATAGGCGTGTGCACGTGGGCAAATCGTAATTCCATGGCTTCTATGCCATCGGGCCCCGTCGCTCTACATCTCAATGGATTAGCATGTTCAATTTTGTTAACCGTCGGAACCCAAAACGCACAATGTAGGGCGATAACGACCCTGTCGACGTTGTCGAGATTGGCTCGGCGGCCGCCAAGCGTGGCGGCGTTTACAAGGTTAAGCCCCTGGGCGTCCTGGCCATGATTGATGATGGCGAGCTGGACTGGAAGGTCATTGCCATCGCAGCTGATGACGCTAAGGCTGACCTCGTCAACGATGTTGAGGACGTTGAGAAGTGAGTAAGCCTGAGGTCGTTTGCATGGCGCTTCGTTTCATCTATGCAGAGGTTGTGGGGCGGCACGTATTGTTGAATATGTTAGATTTGACCTTGGTTGGCACTATCCACGCATATCACGCACGTCAGGAATCCCTTCGGGAGGTTGTCTCTTATCCAGTGTGCGCGCGTGTATGTGCATACCGAATGAGGATTGTCTGTTGTCGGCTTTTCGGTTTTTGCAGGCACTTCCCGGGCGAGCTCCAAAAGGTGCTTGAGTGGTTCCGTGACTACAAGATTCCTGACGGCAAGCCGGCCAACAAGTTCGGATACGACAACAAGTGCATGAACAAGGAGTTCACGCTGCACGTCATCCAGGAAACGCACGAGGCGTACGTGAAGTTGAAGTCGGGCGCACGGGCTAACACTGAGGAGCTGTCGCTGATTTAAGCAATTTCGAATAGGGATGGTGATTTCATGGCTTATGTACAGTGCGCGCCGGTGCCGTGTACGATGCGACGCCGAGATGTGTAGCCTCTCCCGCAATTTGCATGGTGCTTACAAATTGCAGGGCGGCGGCGGTGTGCAATATAGGCGTGCTTTGATGAATGAGGATTTGCTTTCTGTTCACTGTGCCGTTCTTTTGTTGCGATCCTTTCGGTTCGCGGTGGAGGAGTTTTGACCGGCGCCTTGTCCAGAAACTAGTACTTAGTGGGGACGGACCAGGGTCAACCGACGATGGCCTTGTCGTCATGCTCGTCTGAAATGCGTCTCTGCTGGCAGGGATTGTCTTGTTGCGAAACTTAGGAAGCAGCCACGCGGGACACGGCCAGGGTCGGCCACGGGTTATGGGGATTTTGGTGGCCAGTTTGCGATAAGTCCGCTTCGCATGAGGCCATAGTTGTGCCCCTGGCACTGAGCCTGGTGTGGATGCCGGTTAAGAAATATGCTGCTAAGCATTTACGCGTGGACAGGGATGAAGTTAGCAGTGGTTCCGTACTAAGCGAATAGTGCTACCATGCAAGACTGATCCGCGACTGATTTTTGAGTGCAGGACAGCTCAAAACGTACACATGTGCCAGCACCAAGCACACTGGGAGAGTTCCTGCCTACCAATGTTCAGACGAAATTGTTCTCCAGTGCATCCTTTTGAACATTGCCGAGTAATGCCACCCTTACTATCTATAGAGGAGAGCAAACGTCATGGATAACGTGGCGTCCTTTTAAAGGAATATGCTAGGAGGCAAAGAAGAGGGTGCACAGCGAACTTCGCGGTTAAAACTCAACATTCTACGTCACTTCCCAAACGTGAATTGCTAATATCGTAAGACACCCCGGTTGACTGTTATCAGAGCTAACTTGTGCCAGTACCTTGCGTATAAATGTCCACTGAAATTATGTATGCGATGATCACAAGAAAGTGCTCCTGAGATACCACATAATAATGCGTTATCGCGTGGAAGCTAAGCGTGTTATGTTGCCTGGATCCGGCAATTGGCTTTCGTAATACGACATATGTGTTTGTTTAAGAACAACTGTAACAAAACGCAAGATCAGTAGCATTCTTATCTCCGAGGTTATAGAACGATGTTTGTTTGGAGCACCTTGGTGGCTGATAAAGTTGTACTGTCCATGGTTTGTTGGTTATACTGCATACGTCGCATTTCTTAGCATTGTCTTATGTTTCCCCCAAACACGCGGAACGTTTAGCTTGTAATATGATACTTACTTTCCGCGGGAACGTTGCGCCAAGTTTCTTTATCCGGCGTCCCAGGAACCGATGCGGCAACCTGAGAGGCAGTGCTTTGAGGACGTCCAGGCCTTGGAGTTCAGATGTCTAAACCTTCCTCAACCCGTGATGCTTGTTTAACCGGCCAGCTCTAAATATACGCATCCAGGATGAAAATGCCTTCATGCCTGGTGGGGTGCTTTGGTGGATGCACTCGGTAAGGAAGCGTAAGTTTAATTGTATCGTATTGGACGTCACCGAAGACAAGGCACTGTGAATGCAGGCCACCATCAGAAGCCGACTCGTCCCACTTAAGCGTCAGCAAGGGACCAGTTCCTTCCGGTATCATGCGCAGTGGCTTTCTTAGCAGCTTCATGAGCAGGAGGAGTTGCAGCAGAGGTCAGTAACGTGAAAATACGGTTTGGACGCTATCCATCTAGCCCTTTGTGGGTAAAGTGGCGTATTGAGATATTGCGAACTTTCATATCTAGAGTCGGCCTTGCCGAATACAGGAACATGGGACTACAGTCCGACCGATGCCCCAAAACCCCGTGTTCGAACGCGTGGAGACGCAGACATCGTAACTCTGGCGACTGCTCGATACCTTGAGCTGTTCGCGACGACTCCAAAGAATGTAAGCTTGGGGCAGCGAGTTGCACGGGCGCCTCCTTGTTTCTTGACGAAATGGTAGGGACTACCCTCGACCTTCTACCTAGCATCTTGCACCCGCCAGCACTTCAAGACGCCACTAAATTGCTGCCACGGGCGATACCGTGGACGGATCAGGTTCTGGCTTCGTTGTAAGCCATTCTTGGATGCTGATACGGCCGCCTTTGCTCTTGTCCCCTGACAGGATGAAACATCTACAGTGCTTTCTGAAGTCCAAGAGGCGCAAGACAGCATGCGCTCTGCGCGGACGGCCTCGGAGAACCAAGTCAGCCGCTCCAGCACCTTCACCGCCAGAGCCAGCCGAGAACCGTCGCGCCTTGGGGCCAATATCCAGTCGCAGCCTGCGCAGCTGACTTGCCTTCCGGCTTCCAGCAGCCAACGCTTTCCGGCGCCCTCTCACCGCCGCGGTACCTCGGACGCTTCCTACACAACCACCTCACCTGGAAGGGACAGTCAGCAATTGGCGCCGGCTCATGGCCTGCCGGGTCCGCTCCTTTCGCGCAGGATTGGGTCCGCACCGCACGTCACGTCACTTAACCCCTTTACAAGCAAAACGCGCGGGCCTGTCCTCGCCCGGAGCCGCTGCCGAAGCGACCGAATCTCACCCAGCACGGCAGCTTACCTACTCCCTGCACCATCCGTCAAGGCGATAGCCCGCGCACACACAGCCATCCCCGCCACAGCGATGGCGTCCATGGCTATGTCCTCCAGTACCTCGCTGAACGACTTCTCCGCGGTCCCCGTGGAGGGTGGTCCCATGGAGGAAACCGCTACCAGCACGGCACGCCGGCGTCGCGTTCGTGCTTGCACCTCCATGAGCCAGATTGCACCGGCACCCATCTGTATCGATGGCAGCGCTGGAGTGAACGGCACTGGACTTATTAGGACGTCCCGGTTGCAGACCGACAACGGCAGTGCTTCAGGTATCACCGGCGGCGGCGCCACAGCACCGCCGGAGCTAGGAGCAGCGGCACAGCAGTGGGTCCAGCAGCACAACCAAGTTGATGAATCAGCTACTGCGACGCTTGCGAGGGCCAATGCGCGAGGGAGAGGGCTGCCTCGGCGACCCAGCATTCTCTTCACCCGCGATGGGGATGTTACCGTTACAGGGCTACCGCCGTCGTGCCTCACGGCGGGCCGTGCGCCGCGGGGCCGCGGCCCTTCTGACGTCCTGGCTTCCACGCTCTCGACGGGCTTCGGGTGCAATAACATGGCGAGCGTGACGGTCCCGATTAATTGCTCGGCATTGCTCGTAGCGGGTGGCTCAGTGGATAGCGCGAGCCCACGGATCGCTGGTGGGCAGGTGAGCGGCGCGCGGGAGCCCCTTTTGACGACAGTCCTAATGTCGAGTCGCAGCAACGACCCCGGGGGCCGCAGTTATACACCGGCTTCTACGAGCCGGAAGGATTGTGCTTTGGATGTGGCCCTGACGGTGACCCAGATCAGACAGCAGCAGCAGCAACGCCGCCCCGCCGGAAGCGGGGGACCAGGAGGGAGATATGGCGGGGTCTCCATGTCGTGCGGCGCAAACGCTGTGTTTATGTCGACGGACGCCACCCGAGTCACGGGCTGTTGCAGCGGTGGTGAGCAATTTGAGGGATTCCTAGGTGTAGAGCGTGAGCAGCAGCAGAGGTGCCAGGACACAGAACGAGCGGAAGCGCAGCAGCAGCAGGTGGGGAAGGGGGACGAGGGCGTGCAGGAACCTAGTGACCAACTAGCTTGCGAGGAGGAAAATCAGCAACCTGGCACGGGCTCCGGCCAGGGTCAAGCTCAAAGCCAGGACCGCCACGAGGATAAGCGCTTGGAGAGGACCCGGCAAGATGGCTCGCAGGCTTTTGTGCTGGCGAACTCTTCAAGCGAGGGCGGCCATCGCTGCGAGTGGGGCTGCAGCTCTATGCTTGTTCCTTCGCGCTTCAGTGACTCGAGTAGGCTGACGCATGGTGCAGCAACAGCGACGCATGGTACGGCATCCTTGCACTCCAACAACCCACTTTATTGCGCCGCTTCTGCCGGTGCCGGTGGCGCGCCCAGCCCGCCGGGCAAGTTCGGCTCCATCACCCCCGCTGAGGCCCCTGCGGTGGCGGCGGCAGCTGCGGCTTCCACGGCCGCTGGCGCCCGCGGGGATACGGTATTTCAGGAGGACCCATGTCCCCAGGGGGCGATGCTGCCGGCGGGGTTTGCTAAGCCGTCTGCAACGTCGAACGGACCGTCTCTGCTGGCAACGGAAGCACGCGACGTGACGTCGGCACTGAACCGTCTGCAGGAGGCCTGTTTGGCAGCAGTGGCGCAGGGCGACATGCGCAGCCAGCGGCTCTGCCGTCGAATCAGCACGGACCTGCCCAGACTGGGTCTGAACCCCTCTCAGTTGCTGCCGCGCATCGGTGGCGGCGGCGACGGCTTTGGTTACGATCGGGGTAGCAGCATGGGACCTGCTCGCGTCGCAGCAAGCCTTGGCGGCGGCGTGGCGGCGGCGGTGGGGGCGGCGGCGCAGACAACGGGCAGTCGTATGGGCACGTGTTTGCGAACCGCAGCGTCACTGCCCAGCGGTGATGGTGGGGGCACCGCTGCCGCTGCCACCGTGCAAGGGCCCTCGACGTTTTCGCTGAATGTATCTGTTACGTTGGACATGAAACGGACGCGCCAGGGTGTTATGGGGATGGGGGCCGCATGCGGCGACGTTTGGGAAGCAAGTGGATTTGGTGGGGACCGGGCGAGCCCGGAAGGCAACGGCATTGTTATTGATGGGGAGATGCTGGACAGGGTCCATTTCAACGTTCCCGACAATGATCTTGGCGCCGGGGAAGTAATTAAGGCAGCTGAGGCGGGTCCCTGCACGCCTGGGCAGGGCCCACAGATAGGCACGGTGGACGTTTTCGAGGACGCAGACGTGGAGCAGTACCACAACCCGGTCCTCAACGTTCTGCTGCGGAGCGACTTTTTGCACGAAACCTTTGAGGCCCCCAGTGAAGATGAAGACGACGGTGTGCTCGAATATCGGTATGGAGGCTTTGAGCTAGGTGGTGGAGACCACGATTGCGGGTTTGTGCGGCAGGCCTCTTTCATGGAGGCGGTTCGGAAGTGCGGTGCCTCAAAGGCGGGTGCCTTGCCTGCGGGGCTAGGCCCCAGTCAGGCCGGGGCTTCGGAGGCAGGTCCGATGCTGCGGAGCGCGACCCTGGCGCTTGCCGCTAGAGCCTCGCGCCTTGGGCCGGGCGGGACTGCATTGCAGCGCAAGGGCTCGTGCTTAGCTGCAATTGCCGTGGCGCAGCCGGGGCTGACATGACCTGAGCCTGAGCTTGGGCAAGCTAGGTAAGGTTGTAATTTGTATCGGTAGCGGGGTCATGTGTCTCGTGTACTCAATGGGCTGGAATGATGGAGTGATACGGTCCCATTTACACTGCTGTGCAGCTATCGGGGCAACAATGGGATGAGAAGTTGGTGGCGATAACATGTTTGCAGGAAACTCGAGTACCCAATACGGTTGCAGGGGAAGAATAGCAGGCTCCACACGCGCGCAGATGGCGAGCCAGTTTGGGGGTCCTTAGTCGGGCGTGTGACGCCCGGCTGAGTCGCTGATGCTTTAAAAGGAAGATGACGTATGACGTATGTGACGTATGTGAAGAATCTGAAACTTCCTAAGAACATAATTATCGTACTAATTATCGTGGAAATTAAGATGCGCGTGGGGCGTTTTAGGAAATGCTCGCCAGGCCCTGCCACGCGACCTCCTCTTGTGGCGTAGAACCAAAAGCCTTTTCCCGTATTCGCGAGTGTGCTTCCGTCCCTCCCTTCGCGTTCATTGCCGCGCGGATGGCCTTTGGGAGGAGGGAGTGGACCCGAGCTTGCCCTTGGCGTTGCCAGCGCTGCGCGCCTGGCCTAGTCTTGGGGCCCTGCACCGCTTACATTTATTATTGGGCCGGGGCTTATGGATCTGCACGTCATTTATTGCTCAAAGTGGCGCTGTCTTTTATCCTTTCCTTAGTTTTATTCTCCTTGCTGTGCAGTTCTTTACTAAGTGGCTTTGGCAGTGGGCAGGGCAGATAGCCTTGAGCCCCCCTCATGGCTCCTATTGGGCAGGTTTGCACGGATGAGGTTTACGCACCCCCAACCATGTGAGACATACCCATGTAGTGCATCTCTGTCAGTGTGGTGGCGGTATGATGATGGTCGTAATACAACAGCGCGCTGCCGCATTTTCTGCTCCTTAACATGAGTTGACCTGGTCCAGGGTAGTGTTGGGTTTGTGGCTGACAGCCGCCATATAGCTGAGCCATGGCGTTGAATCTGCCGAATCTGTTCCTAAAAGCATGGACGTGCCGGTGCCGGCCGCGTCTCTCACGCAGGGCCTCAGGTCGGCTGCATTCGCACAATTTCCGTGACCTTTCCGGACGCCGTAGGGAAGCGGTTTCATGGTTCGCGGTTTACAGTGTGATATTGCGGATTGCGCTGTAATGAGTGTGTACAAACCTGGTCATGGGCTGTGCACCCGCGCCCGTACAACCATTCTTGATTCATCCCCCTCATGCAAAACAAAAAACATGTGGTCTATGTATATTTTTTACATGCCTATGGGATGTCGTCTTTTCCTTCTCCTGCATCGTCAATGGTTATTCCACCTAAACCTCGTAGTAAAGCAACAGGCGAGAGCGTCGGGGGCCCTTCGGCTTGCTATGTGGGAAACGGGTCGGTGCAGAGAGACGACCAACTATTTCCCAACAATGTGGCCGCTTTGTGTGTGGTAGCATGGCTGATTGAGGAGTGTATTGGGGGATGGTTCCATCGTCGGGCCAACAAGTCGTTCGGTTCGGTTTGCACACCGTATGTGATTTGGCCGGACCACACTAGCTGCGCGCCTTTAGAAACCACTTAAAATAGCTGACCGGTTATAGGCTCTGCTCGATGCAACGTGCTGCCGCAGATTTCCTGGTGTAACAGGTAGCGTGAACGCGTGAGTCGTTCCACGATCCCTCTGGTTGGATTGCCGTAAAAGGAAGGCTCGCTGTCGGTACAACGCGGCATCCTTTCGCCGTGGCCTTGCACATGCGCAGCTGCGTTGTCGGGGCGAACAGGTACGCAGCGTTTGCTTCGCATGTGGAGGAATCGGACAATGAACAAACGTGCCGTATACGTCGTATCGCTTGTTCGTCCGATATCGTAGCTATTGCCTCTATTATACTCTTAATATTATCTAAACGAAGAACTGAACGGTCGAGGAATCTGCCTGCAGGCAAATGCGAGGCTGGGTGCTTGGTGTTCGGAACCTTTGCTTGGTGTATTGAACAGCGGTTTGCGACGATGACGGTGGCAACGGCTGGTTGCCAGCGTAAGCCTCCCGTTCGCGGTCCTAAGGTTACGGCATGTCCAGAGGGTCAAGTCTTATAAGCAGGGATTTCCTTATTCTCAGTCTTATCTCTGCGCGGCTACTTATAATTTATTGCTCAAGTACGGCTTCTGGTTATGGGGATGATATGCGTGTAGGGATAGGGGGCCCCGGCGCCTGCCGATCCGCATGTGTTGAATGGATGGTATGATAGGACTGTGGGTGCATGGCCGCTCACCGCAGTGTGGGTCTGATTGGCGGCACGGGTGGTCTACGGCTGGCGGTATGGGGGCGTCCTGCACAGAGCGATTCGCAAGTGTTGGCACCCTGGTCGCATTGCTGCGCGTGTATTTTATCCAACCAAAATGTTACTTCCTTCCACTGGTGTTAACCTGTCTATAAGAAGGTGTAAGTGCGATGTCCCAATGTCAACGGCAAACATCGTGCGTTTTTTGATGTCTTGGTTGTCCAGCTGGGCGTCATTTGTGATATAGCGTGAATGGAGTGTCAAATGAAGCAATGGCACTGGGAATAGAAATACGAGGGTGTCCTTGTTTGAGTTCGGCCTGTCTCTGATGCTTGCGAAGTTTGCCTGTTGCGTGTGTGATATTTTAGAAATGGTCGACGATCTGTCGGATCTTTGCCAGCAGATTGTCGTGACTTCGGAGCTAGCGGAGCCAGTCATTGAGTACAGCTCCTTGCATGACTGCTTAAACGGACCAATTTATGATCTATGTAAGGCGAAGTCTATCCCGAAGAGATTTGTTCCGTCCTGGTCCAAATCAGTACAAAATCAGTTGCAAATGAAGTCAGCTTTAGCTTCCCAATTAATAAGGTGTGGTCCAAATCCCTTTCAGATGGTATCCGCGCCTACGTCCGCCTCGGATTGCTCGTCGTCATCGCCGCCTTAGTCACCATCACCGTCCCCCGTTCATAGCTCCCACCAACCTAGCTTCCCCACCGAGGTCGAGCCCATCGGCCCTGCGCCTTACGTTGCTCCCGACCTCTGCCCTGTCCGCACAGCCCAAGATGCACCTTCCAGTGGACAGAACGCAGCTGCCGTCCCAACCCCCGGGTTGTTACCACACGGCGAGGAGTCGAACTGTTCCAACACATGTCACCGAGCTCCCCTGCCCCCGTGCCCGCGTCCAGCCGCCCGGCCGACGAACCGCCTTTGCGCCCGATGCTTCTTTCGCCTGGGGCCGCCTCGCCGAACTGGCTGCCGCTGCTGCTGTTAGAGCAGTCCAGGACTCCATGCCCGAATCAGCGGCTACCTCCCCCCGGACCATGGCCCGCTGGCCAGTACAGCCAATACGACGAGGCCCCCGCTCCCATCCCAGCGCCAAGGATGCGGAACACACCGTGTGGGCAAATCGGCTCCGGCTGCATTTTACCTTGTTCAGGATCCCCGAAAACAGCCATTCGGCTGCCGTCACCGGCCTCTCCGCCATTGACGGCCCCGTTCCCGATACACTGCTCCTGCTCCTCCAATTTCCCTCCTGCTCCACCCTTCCCGTCCCTCAACGCGGTCCTACAGGCGCTGGAGCCCCTTTTGCCCTCTCTTGACAGGGCCCTCAATGCACAAATCGGCATGGACGCTCTGCACCAAGGTTCCGGACCAACACCGCTCAACACGTATCTGGCCTCCTTCCGGTCTCTCATGGCGGACATCCCGCGAGCTTCAGTCCAACAAGTGCATCTGGCCCATCAAGTGCCGCGACGGCCTTTGGCAGTTCACGTCTGATGCAAAGGAGGTTCCGTACAAGCCTGCAGAGCCTGGTGCGCCCGGCCCTGCCTTTGTTGCTAAGGTGCCTGAGTCTTACATGGTTTCCCTGTGGCAGCGGCGTTTCTGCCACTAGGCTGGACAACTTGGAGAGCTTGGTGATGGAGGGCATGGTGCGTGGTGTAAGTTTGTAAACGCGGGCTTCCCACCGTGCTGCTAAGGACGGCTTCTGTGAGGTCTGTTCTTAGGAAACCATTGCCGTTTGCCGTTTCCCAGCTCTGATTCTGCCACATCTAAGCCCCTCGAGCTGTTGCATGTGGATGTGCGTGGGGCCGTTGCGTGTCAGCACGGTTAAGCATGAGCTTACGGGGGTCTTATAGGTTTGTGACTTTGGGAAGGCTAATACCTACCTCCGCATGCAATCCCAAGATTCGTCATCACGCACAAAGCATTGTCATGTGTGCCACCATTCCCCTCGTGAGCGCGTTTCGCACGGTGAGCAGTGTATCGTATGTTGCAGCGCCGTTGATCAGGTTGCCGATTTGTTCACGAAGGCACTTTCCGAGGCCAAGATGAAGGAATGCATGGATGGCATGGGCGTCAAGCGACCGTACTTAGATCACAGATAATGTGTCGCGCGAGTTAGGTGCAACCGCGTTAGGTGGTGTCTTCGGTAGACCACCAGTGGTCATCTACGAGTATGACCTTTCTTGTGTGATGCAATTGCGTGGGAGCTGTGTGCATGAACACTGAGTGCGTGGGAGCTCTGAGCAGGACAAGTCGAGTACCTGTGTGCTATCTGCGAGCAGTCTACTGCTGCGGTTGCGTCTCTTGCTGTAATGTAGACTGCATGACATCACGGCCGCGTGGGGGTGTTAAGGGTCTGCCATTCTTGGTAAGTTTGCCTGTTGCGTGTTTGGGTGAACTTTCGCTTTGTGCATGGCTGCGCGAAATCTTTATATGATTTGTCTGACGGAAGGTATTTTGTCGTAACTGGTGTTGGCTGACGGGGGCTAATTGCAAGTCACCGCTTTGAAAGGAGTTAAGTGAACATGGATTTTGGCATACACACCCGCTGGTCCGGCTCTTGTAGCCGTTATGCCAAATCCTTCAGCTACACTGGGGTACCCTATGGGCTATAGTGTGCTCCTTGCAACAAGAAGTGCAAACCACGCTCCGAGCCTGAGTAGCCGTATAGCGTATGGCACAGAGCAGCTCGCAAGTTTACATCATGATGGCATCTTTCCGGAAAGGAGTGCTCCTTGATGGATGGATGGATGCTACAAGCTTCAGCGAGCCCGTACAGTTCAGACAAACCCGAAGGCTCATGAACCACTGCAATCGCGCAATGAAAAACGGCTTGCAATTGGGTTGATCGTAACCAGCAACGTACGGGACTACGGCATCACCTGAGGTTGAGGCTCGGCTACCTCATGCAAGCTCGTAAGTCTTCCAGAAAGAAGATGCTGCTGGGCGCATTCTGCCTTCTGTTGCCGGGCAACTCCTTCGTAACTCTGCACTGTCCTATACGCCCCGCCTTGCGTAAGCCATAATATCACTGCAATTCATGGAGTATTTAATGTCAAATATATAGGTTTTAGGTTCTTGTGTCATGTGGGTATCCCTGTAACGCCAAGTCGTGGGACCTTCGAAGCAAGGGCCCGTTCAACAGAGGGGTTCACGGGAAGAGGGCATGCTGCATGGTAAGGTTCGGCTGCATACAATAACATTTTTATATCCTGTAGAAGAAACTAGTCAAAAGTAACTAAGTTGATTTTAAGAGCAGCCCTGCCTTCGATGATCATGGATTATATGAGATATAACTGAGTAACATACAATCAAGTGTTACAGGAGATTAGATGTATGGCTGGCTATGAGACGCGTTTACGGATGCATACTTGCAGGCGGACGCAGCTGACCGGATCCCCCTAGGCGAGCAGGAAATTCCATCTGGTACACAATTCTTGAATATCCAGGAGCCTTCGGCAGAGCCAGACGCGGTTTCGGGTCCTGCATCCATTCAACCAACGGACCCTGCTGGGCCTTCAGACAGCCCGAACGCCGCAGGGGATCTGAAAGAAGGGGAAACCCAGAAAGGGCAACCCGCGGGGCAGGCAGCGCAGGCATCGGCAACCGCGTCCGACCAACCGCCAGGACTACCAGAATCAGCCTTGCAGCCGCAGAACCCTGACAACAGCCAATCCACGGCGGCAGCCAACCCACAGCCACAGATCGCAGCATCAGCCTCCGCGGAGCAGTTGCCCCAAGAAGGGTCCGTGCCACAGGGACAGGATTCTCCAACAGCCTCTGGCGCATCACAGCCCAAACGAGGACTTGCCTTCAAGACCCGGCGCTCTAACAATAAGCTCGTGAAGCCATCGCCACCGGAGAAGTCGCCACCTGGCGATCTACCTTCTCCTGGCGCACCCTCTCTACCAGCAGCCCAGGAGTCCCAGCAGGGCTCGACAACGGGGCCCCCCAGCAACACCCTGCCAATCAGCTCCTCATCCTCCCCCACAGCCAAGCAAACCCAAGAAGAAAAGAGCGGGCCTCAACAACTGTCATCGCCTACGGCGTCCCCTCCAGTGCCGGATCAACCTGGCAGCCAAGCAGCAGGCGCCAGTCAAGCAGAACCCCTCTCGCAGCCGCAACAAGAAGCGCAGCAACCGCCGGTTGTCTCGCCCCAGCCGCCAGCAGAGTCGAGCCCCCAACCGCCACCCTCTGAAGAACCAGGTGCACAGTCTCCGACTGACGTTGGCCCTCAGCCGCCACCGCCGCAGCCTGTACCTGAGTCCCAACCCCAGGCGGACTTACCGCTACAGCCACCGCCTTCTGATCACGTCCAGCAGCAGCAGCAGCAGCAGCAGCCACCAGAGGTCGGATCTGAAGTAGGGTCGCACCCCGGGGCGCAATCCGAGCAGCCGCCAGCAGAGGCGCAGTCGGGAACCGAACCGCAGCCGCTACAGCCAGTGCTGAGTCCGCGGGGCTCACAGGAGCCGCCTGGGGCCGAGCCCGGAGCCGGACCTCAACCCCAGTCCCTTGGACTCGAGGACGAGCCAGAACCCCAGCCCCAGGCACGGCCGGCTGGGCTCGGTCTCGAGCCCTCCCAGCAACAACAGGAGCCGCAGCAGCAGGAGCTGAAACATCACCCAGAAGCTGAGCAGCAACAGGGTGCGTTGGCCGTGGACCAGCTGGGCGCATCCCCACTGAATCCGCCAGGGGGGCCACGCGCCGAAGAAGCAGATAAAGTGGTCGACGGAGTGGTCTACGGACTGGTAGACGAGGGCGCCGCATATCTGCAACAGGAGGGGGTGCGGGAGCCGTGGCAACAGCCGGGACAGGAGCGGGCGTACCTCCCGGGGGGATTCCCTGAAGCAGAGGACGGCCGTTGGGCCGAGCAAGAGCAGCAGCAGCAGCAGCAGCAAGAGCTCGGGCTAAATCCAGATCTGGAGCCAGTGTCGGGATCCCATCTGGTTCAGGGACAGGCAGAGGACCTAGCTGACGAGGGAGGGCAGCCGGAGACGCAGTACGGCTACGATTACGGGTACGGAGGCGAGCAGGGGTACGGCGGCCAAGGACTCGAGTACGACGACGAGCAGCAGCAGGGAGGGCTCGGTGGGGAGGACGGCGCACTTGTCGATCAGGATTACTACGCTGCGGGAGCTGAAGCAGCAGCACCAGCAGCAGAACGAAGTGCGCAGGGGGCGAGCGCCATTCTTGGCGACGGCCCATCTGCGGCTGACGGCGCCGCCGACTTCGGCGGCATGTATGACTACAACGCCACCGACGGCGGCGGCGCCGCGTCGCCGGCGCCGCCCTTTGCCTCTGAACAGCAGCAGCTGCTGCCGCTGTACGGACAACAACAGGGAGCCGTAGGGAGGATGGGCTCGGAGTTGCGTGTTGGTGCCGGCGGCAGCAGCAGCTACAGCCGCGGCGAGTCCATGTCCAACGGCGGCGTTAGCCGCCGCAGCAACGGTGTGGCGCCACCGCTGCCGCCGCCGCCGCGGCCGCCGCAGTTGGACTCGGATTCAGAGACACTGATAGCTGCGGAGCGGGAGCGCTTCTCACAACAGCTCCAAATGGAGGTTCGTGCCAGGGAGGAGCTGGAGGATATGATTCTGCGGATTGAGAAACACTTCAAGGCGGAACAGGCCGCGCGCAAGAAGGCGGAGGAGCTGCTGCAGGTGCATTGGATGGCCTCGGGAGGGAAGGCAGCGGGGAAGGGTAACTGGAAAGCAGCACCAGCAGCACCAACAGCCTGCCTGCCTGCCTGCCTGCCTGAAGGTTCTATCCTGCGCTGAAGAGTCTATCTATCCTGGGACATGGGAGGCTAGGAGGAAGGCTATGTCGGGTTGGGGGGCCGGTCCGGATTTTGGGCGGAGCTGAGCGGGAGCTGCGGGGGTAGCGCAGCCCCTAAGTTTTAGACCGGGACGGCAAAGGAGGCCCCGGGGGGTGCTGGGACGTGCAACACATCGGAACCCGCGATCTGATCCGACCTAGCGTAAGACGAAACCGATCCCACCCCAATAACTCATTCTAGTCCCGCGCCGGGGGCCCCGCCCTAGCCCTAACCTGGGAGGTTGGGACTCTAGGAAGCGTACGGACGAACAAGTTAAGCCTCGTCGGTGCTGTCTCTCGCAGGCGGCCATATCCGCTGAGCTTGAGGCCAAGAACCGCCTGGAGGACCTGATGAAGAGGCGGAAGGAGGAGCAGCGGCAGATGGAGGAGGAGCGAAACGGCATCAAGCGGGTGAGGGCTGAGGGGACATTGGAAACATCTGGGCGGGTGTTGGTGGACGCCAATGTATGGCTGAGGGCTGAGGGCTGAGGCTGACCCGCAGGTCGTTCGGGGATGCGCATGTGTACACGTACACGCACACTTGGCCATGTGGGTCCATTTGCGCGGGGGTGCACCGCGGCACGCTCGGCAGGGAGTGCACGGAAAACGGGAAAAGGAAAGGAAAAGAAAGAAAAGCGGCGTTTGTTGAGTAGAGTCGCCCGACTCGTGAAGTCGCACACCATGCCGCCACGCGCGATTGCCTATGCGTGCACCTCGCGCCTCGCCTCACCGGGGTCCGCCCCACAATGCATTGGGCGTCTTGTAATACAAGTTACAAGTTCCGCACGATTGCGGGGGCTTCCGTCAAAGCCGGGAGGCCATAGACTGGAAAATGACCTGTATTGACTCCATCGTACAAACGACGGATGTTTGTTGGTCCCGTAACGAGACGAGGCATAAGTACCCTTTGGTCGTATAACTTATGCCCCCACAATTATGTGCCTGCCCTCATTTCCTCCAGCTTCCGGAGTGTGGCCTCTATCGGGATCGAACCGATGACCTTGGCGTGCCTATTGTTATTAGCACCGTGCTCTAACCAGCTGAGCTAAGGGGCCATGACATGAGATTAGGACTGAAAAGCTTGGAAATTCATCGAATGGAAAGCTTGACATTCATCATGATCCCTTATTATTATATTGACAAACTCCAAAACAAAATACCGGCCAGGAGCGCAACGCTTTGGAGAGCATGCGTCAGGACTTCGAGGCGGAGCTGCAGGCAGCCCGCAGCGAGGTGGGCAAGGCGCAGGAGGCGTTGGCGGCTTCAGAGGACCGCATTCGAGCTGCTGAGGCTGTGGACCGCGCACGGCTGGAGTCAGAGTATCAGGCCAAGATCAACACGCTGCAGGAGGAGATTGGGAGGCTCCGAGAGGAGCTGGCCTACCGGACGCACGTAGGTCGTGCACGGCTGTATGCGGCCGTGTGGCACGCCATAGCAGTTTTGGCAGTAGTTCGATGTACGGTATATGGCGGAGGACAGTGCGGAGGAGGAGGAGAAAGTGTGTGTGTGTGTTGGGGGGAAAGGATGATGTGTCGTAAAAGGGCAAAGGGATGCTGTGTCGTACAGGTCCGCACAGAGGTTTCCAGAATCACGCCTGCACCAGGATTGGCTGTTTTGGAGCTTTGCGGTCGTGTGCTCCACTCCCTCCCTGATCATTTTTATTATATAATCAAGAATACGTGACTCTTAACGCCTTCCGCTGTCTAAAGTCTTACTCTCCGGACCCATACCCCAACCCGCCCTCATTCTCTGTTGTTCCCTCCTTCCTTTATCCCTCCCCGCTCTGTGTGAACCTTCCCCTCCCCCTTCCTCTCCTCCCCCTTCCTCTCCTCCCCCCAATGCTGATGCTCATTTTCCCCTCGACACCGCCGCACAGCTGATGACCTCTGAGATGACACGATGGCAGCAGCAGGCGCACCTCACGGCAGCCGCGGTCATGGAAGCGAAGAACGAGGTTCTGGAGCGCAAACGGGAGTTGGACTCCACAAAGGAAAAAATGGACCGTCTGCTGGACAAGCTCTACATTGGGCGAGAGCGCGGCATGGAGCTCAGCGGCGCCATCGCCGCCGCGCAGAGCTTCGCTCAGCATGCGGGCGGGGCGGGCCCGATGGTGGGCCCTATGGCCCACATGGGTTTAGGAAATGGGCTGGCGTCCGTCGCGGGCATGATGCCGCCGGCAATGCTCATGGCGCATGCCATCGGTGGGTCAGGTGCAGGTGGTGGCGGCGGCGGCGCGCGCGGGCCGTCGCTGCCCCCGCAGCACATGTTGCCATTGGTGCAGTCGCCGCTGGGACCCGGCGGTGGCGGCGGCGGCGGCGTACACAGCAACATCCCCAAGCTGCCGCCGGTGAATGCCCGGCCGCCGATGCTCGTGAGCGACATGGGAATGCCTGGACCCCCCCTGTTAGGCGGAGCGCGACGGAGCGCCCCGGGGAGCCAGATGGGTAACGATGGTAGCGGTGGCAGCAGCAGCGGAGGTGCTGGATTTGCCATGCCGGCGCCGGGCTTGATAGGGAATGGCGGTGGCATGGGAATTATGCCCTTGGGAATGGGCTATATGGGAGGTGTCGTACCGCCGGGCATGCCGTTGGGCTTCGGCCCCGGTATGGGAGGACCAGGCGCACCGCCGGCAGGCATCCTAAGTGGCGGCCCTGGCGGGGGCCCGTGGGTTGACGGCGGCGGTGGTGGTGGCGGCGGCGGCGGAGGTGCGGCTGGCAGCCCAGGCTTGGCGGGTGACGGCGCGGCTGATCCGTACGCGCACGTGCAGTCGCGATTTGCTCAGCCAGCCGATCTGGCCAAGAAGGCACGTGTGCCCAACGGCAAGGGGATTCCGAAGAAGCCGCTGGATCGTTTCGAGGAGAGCAAGAGAGATGAGGCGCGCCTGGCAGCGATGGCTAAGCGATGGGGGTGACCCATGGGTCTTAACGATAGCAGGGTAGTGACACACACGTAACACCCATGACCTCAACATTCCACCGACTCTTTCCAATGCATTTGTGGTCTTTTCATCAACATGCCCCAGTACCATCAGCTTCCCGTATGAGGGATAGGCCGCAGGGTTCCTTACTTGAACAAGGGCACCGGAGGGCAAACATGACGTCAAAAGCATGTGCGGGTGTAATATGAGGCGGGTGTAATATTCCTTAGCTGTGGGTGGCTGGCGTAAAGGTGATTGAAGAGTGAAGAGATCGGACGCTGCCCGATCCAGAGCGGCCAAGTTATCGGTACTGTCGGTGACTACTGGCTGCTAGGTTATGCAGGTGGTCCGTGCATGTTTGTACGTGTGCATGTGTGTGTGCATGTACGTGTGCATGTGTGTGTGCACACAGTATAACGATGTGAGAGACCTCCTGCTAGAGGCTGCGGAGAGGTGCGTCCGGTATGAAGAGAGAGAGAGAGAGAGAGAGAGAGAGAGAGATAGCGTGTGTGCGTGGCAGGGTGTCTACCCAGGCCTTCACTGGGACAAGTAAAGTAATAGCCGGTATCTCCCATTCAACGGGAGGACTTAATATAGCGCAGGGTGTTGACGTGTGGTTTGCAGGTGCAGGCAACAGCCATATGGGCTATCGGAGCTATGGCGCAAGTATCGCTTATTAAGTCATGCATGCCGCAGCCTACATAGCGGTGTCTCGAACGTCCTTGGACTTTTGTCTTCTTCCTTCGTGGCCGGCGAACCGAGCCCATGGACACTACTAAGCTTTTCCTCCATGCTGCTCATCATCAACTGCCTAGTAACTTCCTACAAGACTAAGTGCGCACATGCTCGGCACGGTGGGGTGTTGGGGAGCGTGAACGACGGTTGCCTTTCCTCACGTGTATAGTCATGTGGAAATGTGAAAACCCTAAGCGGCTTCACTCTCGCTGTATGGGTGACGTGCGCAGGCCGCATCGTCAAGGCCGCATTGCTGCAGGCCACGTTGGTTTCTTTGAGAACCTCCGGACAGTAATCACGCGCGGGACTGCCCATGCCCCGAGTTGCTATCCTGGCGGACGTCGCGTCTGGCTCCGTAAGGCTTGGTCCTGTCCTTGTACTTAAAAGTCCTCACAGATAGAAGACGACGGGAAAAAAATCATGGAGTGCATCCGATGCCATGTTCTGGGTTTTGGGTTCTCCTGCGAATTCCATCGACAATAGCAGCCGCAGCAGCAGCAGCAGCCGCAGTGGCGGCAACGGTGGCAGTAGTGATGCGTAACAGAGGGGATGCTCTCATGTACATGCACCATATCGCCCTTCACAGCCGAGAGGCCTAGGAACATAAGGATATAGTAGCAGTCAGATACTTGGCCCACGTCACTCAGCAAGGCAACACGTGCCCACACATCTCCCCTGTCTCAAAACGCCTCTACCTTTTTCAACGGCTTTTCCTCTTTGTTACAACAAAGATCCGACACCTAAATGGGGTTGAAGCTAAGGTGCCGAGCCATAGACCCTCCATGGTCGATACGGATACACAAGTGGCCTGGCGCCGCCCCTGCCTACGGCGCAGATCACAAGAACACATGCGGCGACTTAGAATTCTTGCTTCAGTAGAAAGCACGCCTCCTACACAGACCTGACCGCTGCCCAAACCATAGCCTTTAGAACTATCCGCAGTAAGAGGGTCTCAGTCCGGGCTCGCTAGCACACCTGCCAGACACGCCCATCGCGGCGCCGACAGCAACGCGCATCTGCACCCCTAGAACTATGATGCTACCACACGCCATTCCCTTTTGCACAAACCCTGCGCGTCCACACGGCCCATAAGGCCAACCACCAGCCTCTACACCAGCTAGATTGACGCTGCTATACCTTCTCGTAAGCCAACCCCGCAACGGTGTGGTACCGGCAAGGTGGCCCCGGCTGGTGGGGGGCTGCGGCCCGCGGGCCCACAGCGAGCTCCCGTAGATTACACGGGGCTGACGAGCGCCTGTTGGCCCACCTGCGGCTTGAACGCCGATTTGCTGCTGAGAGTCGAGCCCGCCATCTGTACGGCGGAGGAAGTGCCGCCAACAACCCCTCCAGGTACCGACGTGCCGGCGCCGCCACTGCCGCTGGCCGCTGCTGCACCCCCGTTAGCTCCTCGCCCTCTCAACGTATCTGCAACGGCCAGGGCGGGGGACGGGTGGGATGCGACGGCGAAGCGGGCGAAGTGCGCGGGGGGGGGGGAGGGCGGCCAAGGCCATGGGATGCAGGGGGGTGGTTGGGTGGGTGCCCCCGTCAGCTGATGCAGTACGTGCACCTCACGGTACGGCGCCGCACAGCATCGTACAGCCGCAGAACGGGGCACAGCTCCAACGGCACAGTTCACAATGGCCCCCATTCAGTTCTTCCGCAATGCTGAGCAGAACGCGATCCCAAACGACTAGGGAAAATCGGCTACATAAGCAGGGCGGGTTAAGAATCACAGTATATGTTCGAATCGATCACCGCGCAATCTATGTATGCTGTTTATCTGCCTGCCTATCTGTTCAAACGCGACCCGGAGAAACCTCAGGTAGCCACAGGAGCCCGAGTTGGGGGTTGGGTGGGATCTCCACAGATCGAGAGCAGCAAAGGGACGGTCACCTCTTCAGCACGGTGTGTAGCGCCGCAAAGGGTCGCAACAAACGGCTGTCGCGATAACGTGAAGCCCCAAAGGCGGGAGTCATGGCGTACAGCAAGGACATCGTTGTCGATGCGCTGCCGGCGCTCGACAGCGACATTTGCGGCGCCAGGGGGCCGCCGCCGCCGCCGCCACCGCCACCGCCAGCACCCGCCAGCTCACCTGGTGCGTCGTCCGCCAGTATTAGCCGCCACGGGGGAGGGGCCATCGCGACCGCCGTGAGACCGAACGCGGGCCGCGATGCGCGCACGTTGACGGCCGGCGCAGGGGAGGTAGGCGGGCGGGCAGGCAATGGGCATGCAGACGAGCAGGCGGGTACATGTACGTACCTAACAGACCGAACCCTACCGCAAACTCACCGCAAACGGGACAGGCGGAGTGCATAGGGTTTATACATACATACAGTACCTCCTAGGAAATAGCAGATAGCAGCAGCAGCAGCAGCAACAACACGACATGCCCATCTAAAAGCATAGTGGACTCCAAACCCGCGTCTTCACGAGCCCCTCTTCGTGAGAACACGGATGTCGACCCCTGCCTAGGTAACAGTACACCGATGCACTCCTGGACAAGAGCTGTTATTGCACTACACAGACGCGCCGGAGAGTGAGCTTAGTGAGCTTACAGCAGTGAAATAAATGGTAGGAAAAGGATGCGTGTGATGGACTCGACATTCAACAATAAACAAACTACAAAGGAGGCCAACAGATGCACGACAGAGGCCCCGGCCGTACGAAGTGGAGTGAAGAAGCGGGTTGCTGCCCCAGGGGCTGCTTTACAGGTGAAAGTGGCAAGGGGGCAGAGGGGGATGGGGTTCCGCTGGTTGGCGTTACAGTTCAGTGCTGGGTTACTTACTGAGGGGGATTTCTTGCATCTCGCGACGAAGACAGAGCCATTCTCCCAACAGCGACATTATGATGAGCCCCAAGCCGTTCACGAGCCACCTGGTGTGCAGTGGGTGTCGGGGGGGTTAAGTGGAGGGCGGCACGGCTGGCGTGAGACGGGGAAGGGTGTGTGTGGTGGTGGTGGGGAGGGGAGATAGGCAGGTAAGGCAGGGGGTATTACTTTATTCTGCGGCAGGGTAAGCTAGGGCAAGGTTTACATGGGCTTACCATTCGAAGCGAGCAGGGAAGCCCTCGTAATGCCAGCAAAAGAAAAAATGGAACATGAAACATGTCGACGCGAAGTCCAGACATTTCTTTGCTCGCTCAACCTGCACGTTGGTGAAAAGGGGGCCCGTGCTTCACTGACGCAGATCCCCTCAGCGAAAGGGAACACATGAGGCAGAGGAGCAAAGCAGGAATGGCGCTGGGGGACATAGCCGGGTGGAGGTGGTGAGCTTCGCGAGCTAAGGGGCGGAGGTGTTTGGTGGAGGGGAAGATGTGTCTGCGGGTGCGCAACCTTAAGTTACTTACAATCCACATCAGGAAGACCGCCCCCAGTGCGGCGGTAATCAGCAGCGACAAAGCGCTGACATAGCCCACAGGGATGGTGAGGTTGTATGCTCGCCAGCTGAACAGATGTTGTATGGACAGACGAGCTACGCTCGGACCTGCGATGCCAGGCCCATGTGCCCAGAGGTTGTCTTTATGTTTTTTTCATGTTATATAAATATTCCACGTGAACGACTCCGGCGCACGTACCTAGAAAAAGACCCTGCCATAGCCCAAGGCTTAGATAGAAGAGGCATTGAATCGTCACAATTTGTGCGATGATAAGGACAGGGTCCCAAACCTGCATTCCATGGGTTGACCAGTTTCAAGTGGCTTCCATGGAACCGCTGAGAACAATCAAACTCACAGCCGCCCCATAGAGCATTTCAGCTGCTGCAGAGCTGTATCGGCCTCCAAGCCCTTTTTAGTCCCATATAACGTTGAGGTGCAACGCGAATGAAAGGAAAGCTATATAGTTACCAAGACAGCTGTTGCGTAAACAGAGAGTTGCTATGATGCAGTCGGCGTTTAATCAGTTATGTTACAAATACTATGCATATCTGTTATCATGACGTCTTTTGGACGCTCTGCCAAAGGCCATATTAGCATATAGGTCAAGTTTAGACCGATGCTCGATGCGAGTGGTGCTCGATGCGAGGATTGGTTGCAGCCTCATGCAAACCTATGAATGCAAGTGATAATTTAGAAAAAAAGCTAAACTGTGTCGCTCGCCTATTCAAGACAGGCACGGTCATGCAGACACAGAAGACATAGTGCAGATGACGATTCCGCAGATTAAGACTAGATATTTATGGAATTAATTCGTCTAAGCCGAATTACGCCCAACTCCTATGATGAGCATTTGATGGCTCAAAAAGTCCAAGCTATGTCACCGATGCCCCAACACCTGGGGCTAAGCAACTATGCACAACAGCAGCAACAACACATGTCTATGCAGATAATCAAACTATGGGGCGCACCCTCTATTTCTGCGCCAAATATTTAGGTGCTGTACACGCAGTACAGTGAAATAGCCTCCACGACCACAGGAGACAAAGGGTTGCTGTCGCCGTATTCCGTAGAGGACGACAATTCCCGCGTCGCGGCCACAACCCCTGCTACCAGCGTCCCACTTGGACACTGCAGCATTTTGGGGACTACGCCGCCGTCGTGGGTTTCCCCAAACCCCAGCGCAGGCACCGTCCATACGCTGCCGCAGCGCAGCGACCACTGGGTCAGCTGCTGCTGCTGCAAGCCACCGAACTCAGCACGAAACGCATTAAAGCCGCCGTGAGATGCGCAGGAGAATGTTAGGCTAACGCTAGCCTTTGCAACTGTCCCCGGGAGGCCTACATACACAGGCCGGTATGGCAATAAATGGCCTAGAAAGTTAACCAGTCGAGCTGGGGCAGTTGTAAAAGGAACTGGTGCAGGGCTTGGGGGTTTAAAACCACCAACAGACTGCACGAGCCGTCGGCTGCGATGTCCGCCGGTCGCACTGCGGACTTCTCCCCCTTCATCAGCTGTGCCCTGAGACCCTAGTGCGGTGGAATCACCTGCCGCTGCCCCGCAGCCATCGTCAGGCCGTTCGATCAGGAGGTGGCGCGTGCGCGGTGCCAGGGAGACATTTGCGCACTGGAGCTTCCAAGTGCTGAGGTCGACGGGGTTTCCAACGCGTAACACAGCTGCGTACTTACGCACGGGACACAGCATCCGCACGAACACCCGACTCAGGGCACTCTGCAGCGGCATCACTGTTAGGGCGCCGATGCTGCCAGCCTTCAGGTAGGTGCGATTGCTAGGCTCGTAGACGGGCATGCGGAGAGGCACTGGCATCACAGCGGGTTCCAGCGTCGGATGCGGTGGCGGTGGTTTCGGAGGATGCGGGGAGGGTCGTTGTGGAGGGGGTCGCGCGGGTGGTGGAGGCCGCCGTGGCGGGGGTTTAACCGGAGGGGGCGGCCTTGTGTTTGGCCGTGGTGCTGGTGACCTTGGCGGCGGTTGCGGCTTGGGGAGTGGAGGCGGCCTTGGCGATAGTCGTGGCGAAGGGGGCTTGGGGACTGGAGGCGGCCTTGGGGACAGGCGAGGCGGGGGGGCCCTCAGCGGCAGCCCTGGTACGGAGGGCTTCGGGGGTGGCCTTGCTAACGGGGGCTTCGGCGGCGACCGAGACGCAGGCGACTTTGGCGGGGACCTTGCCAGGGGTGGCATCTTTAGCGGCCGTGGTGAGGGTGGTTTCGGAGAGGGCGTCTTCGGCGGCGGCAGCTTCGGCAGCAGCGGCGTGGGCGGCGTCTTCAGCGGCGAAGATGGCGCCATCTTGGGGCTAGGCTTTGGCTGCGGTGACTGCACCGGATCTGCATGGACATCCACAATATCCAAGGGCTAATGGTTACGCTGCCATATTTTTTATTAATTAGTCAGCGGCCAATCCACCTAAGGATCCGGCACTCCAAGGTGACAAGGGAAGCTCGGCTACACAGGCCAAGATGCAGACACGTAGCAGGGGCGGTATACGAAGGAGACGGCAGAGCATACCTGGTGACCGGCGGGGGAGTGAGGGAGGTGACGGCGACGACGGGTGGTCCGGGCCGAGAGGCTCCTGGCTCATGTTATTGGGCTCTGGAGCAAGAAATGGTGGCGTCGGCGGCGAAAGTGACGGAGATGGCGGTGGAGAACGCAGGCAAGGACTCCAGGACGGCGTCTTGTCCGGCGATGTGGCATTGGGTAGCCCTGACGGGGAGGCCACACAGGGAGACAAGGCAGGCGGGCTGGACGGCGGCTGAACCGGCGGAGGGAGCAGCGGTGACAACGGTGGCGGCGGTGACAACGGTGGCGGCGGTGGCGGCGGTGGCGGCGGTGACAACGGTGGCGGCGGTGACGGCGGTGGCGGCGGTGACAACGGTGGCGGCGGTGACAACGGTGGCGGCGGTGACGGCGGTGGCGGCGGTGGCGCCCCGGGGGCCGGTGCCAGCGGACGAGCACTGACGGGTGGACTGCTGTACAAGGTACCTGCAAGCACGCAACGGAGAAAACTCATTTCATGCCTTGGGTCTATGTATATGGGGGCAACACTATCATCAACACTGCCATATGACTCAGGACAGCAACAACAGCAGCAGCAACAGCGGCAGCATGTTAACCGAAAGGCAACCATTACCAAGCGAGTCCAGCAGCAGACTGTGCGCACCTCGGCAGTCGATCGACACTGTCTCCGTCAGCGGGTTACACATCGTCACGATACCCCACCCATCGAACTTGCAGGCAGCCAGGTAGCGCTCCCTGCCCGTGCATTCGACGCCATCTGCAATGGCGCAGCCCAGGTCGTTAAGGGGGATGCAGGATGTGGGCGCGGAAAAAAAACGGACTGTGCTTCCCATGAGAAGATTAGATGTATGGGCGAGCAAAATGGGAAAGGGAGCCGAAACCCGAGGTAAGACCAGCATTATTGGCTGGACAGGACGGTGTTTTAGGGGGGCCTGGACAGGACAGTTCGGACGGGTCTGGAGAAGACGCTCGGCAGAGAAACGTAGCGGAGAACACGATCACCAATCACGGGTCGAGTCAGCATTGCCCCCTGGCTGAACCAGGAAGGAGTGCCGTCACTTTCGGTGCAGGCCGCGCATCGCACATGACAGGGCACGCCAAAACAAGGTGTTTATATCGGCGTGGGCTGGCGCGCCTGCCGGAGAGTTGGGAAGGATTGAGACGCTGTGGGCCCTTTGCAAGACCGGACACGGGCATAGAGGAGCCCGTTCCCCTTTTTGAGGATGGGAGGAATCAATCACACGCCGCACGTCACTCGCATCCGACCGGCATCTCACTCGCATATGCATAAGCGCATGATTCATTGTCCCGCCCGCAACGTCATTTTTGTACGGAGGGCCCCCGCCTCTCGTGGACACATGCCAGCGGGCAATATCACACAGACTAGAACGTAAGAATAGAGCCTGCACGCTTGGGGTAATGTTTCTGGGTATGCTGCTGCACGCCTATGAAGCTAAATGTAATCCATAGCCACGAAGCACATAGGCTACAAGGTAAAACGCTTTGCTGCCCGGAGAAAGAGCCAACCTCGTGGTTTCATTTATCAAGACGACTAAGGCCGCCATGGACACGGCAGGCTTGGAAATGGTTAAGGTAAACACCCAACACTCTTCAATCAGCACAGTGGCGGTTTTACCATTACATGCCGTACACAGCGGCCACGCTGCAAATCCTGTCGTACAGGTATAAACCCTCTTACCCATGAGGATATGACCGGACCCCGCACCAGCACTCGCGGTTGCCGTACTCGAGGTGTTGGCCAGCTGCCTATAGCCAGCGGTACATATGGGCAACACATTGCCTATCAGGAAGGGCAACCGTCAGTCATGTGCAGGTGCTGCTATTGCATGAACCCGAAACAACTCTAACCTGTCATCATGAACGGTCCTCGACACACACACAGGGCAACGGGGGCGTACCCCCTGAGGCCCATAGGCCATTCATCGTAAGCACCAGTTACGCATACATTGACATCATGAGTGCAGCAGGACAGGACGGGCTTAAGGCGGTGTACTGAGGCTGCCTCCCACGGCCGAATTAGGCCATGGTGTCAGGCTGCATGGGGCCCCTACGGCCCGCTAAGATCCGGAGACCTTTTTCGGCCATGTCAGGGAGCCATGTAATATTGCTCCAGTGTCAGGCAGTGTTGGACAGTCGATTCATCTACGGAGCGGGGAAGCAAGGGCCTCTTTTTCCAGGCGACGGGGTGTTGGCGTCGTTTTTTCTCGCGGGCGCGTAGCTGCCAGGCCCCAACACCGGTGCCCGTTTGATAGCTAAGACACGCGCACCTATCTACCTGCATACTACCGCCGCCAGCCGCGCATCATTTTCCTGTTGCCAGTCACGCGCTGCATGACAGACAGACAGACGGCCAGTGGGGCATGTGTTGCGCAAAGTATACAAGTGGAGCAGTGTTAGTTAAGACGTCGTACTTCCAACCGCCATGGACGCAAACGTACGATAACTCACTCCATGGACCTCTCTGTGTTCCCCTCGAGCAATCCAAAGGCTGCCGGGTAAAACCCACCAACCGAAAGGTGCCGCTCTCTGTGTGGCGCTATAAGGAGTGAGTACTCCAGCTCCTTCCGGTAGATTCCCTCTCCCGCATAACGTATCTGTGTGTATCTCTTCTATTTCCCCTGGCGGCTCCCTCCAGGCCGCTCCCAGTCCCTCACCGCAAACTGTGCCCCACACGCCGTCGCGGCCCATGATCTCAAGAACGCCTTGCGCAGCCGTCGGACCTCCCACCAGCCGTACGGGGTGCTCATCCGCGGTTCCTGGAGCAGTGGCAGGGAAGAGTGGGTTCTGCAACTCAGACAAGCACACTCAAGATTTTTCTCTTGGGTGCACTTGTGGAAGCGTACGAACCTAGCGAACTTTGTTATATGGTACGGCAGGAGGTTGGCCGCCTGTATTCGGGATGGATGGGTTAAGGGTTTGGATTCTGCCTCAGTGCGATAACCTCTGCCTTTTTTGGCCGTTAGTCACCAGAACTAGCAGGTTAATGTGTTTTCACCTCGTTTGCAATACCTGGTCAAGTTTTCACGCGGTCTATGCTTTTTTCCGGTAACCACATCATGTACGATAGTACAAAACCCAAAAAAATCAGACTGCGAGCAAGGGTGCAAGGGCAGAGTATCTATTCGTTGGTGCGCAACATGCATCTTTTTTCCGAAGAGATCAATTGAACCCTAGGACAGTATCCGACATCGCAACTAAAAAGCCCTTGATCGATGCTGGCCCTAGACTAGCGTCCTTCGACTGTAAAGTCCAACCTCGCCTTGTCACCCATCACATGCATGTGTACACGCACATGTGCGTGCTCGTTTGCATTCCGGCGAGTTTGGTGAAGTTTCGGGGGATGTATGGAAACATAAAAACAAGTCCAAAAAGGAAGATGCACAAGCTAGACGAGTTTGCCAAATGGCTTGGTGTCGGAAGATGTCGCATCTCATCATTTCTGTGCAATCGCATGACCGCGGGGTCCCCAAGCGCGCCCAAGCGTTTCTTGGCTTCATATCAAATACCCTAAGATCCGCTTTTGGAAAGAAACGCCGTGGTTAGTTTTATTTCTAAAACTCTTTCTGCAATCGCTGTAATTAACTAGTGGCTGATGGCCCTGCAATAACGTTAACGGAGAAAGCCAACAAAAAGGTCAACAAGTTGAGTGGGTCTTGAACCGTCACCGTACCGTGTCCTTCATAGATCGTCCCATGCAGCCCAACCAAGAGAACCGCCAGGGCGCTTTGGGGATACGCTATGGCTTTCTTGCCAAAACGTAGACACACAATTCAGAGGTTGCGACTTGGACTGCTGGATGGCCTGTTTCAGCGTCTATTCACCTGACCCACGACAACCCACCGTAGCACACAACGGAAACGTCCTCGGAATGGCTGCAAGATTTGGGATTCCACTGAAGGTTTGCGCAGTCTTGCAATCTCTTCTCTAAGCCAGAGCAGCCCACGTTGCTTAAGAAAATAGGCCCGCTGCCTTCGCCGAAGTAAGCACCCCAGTGCGCACGACCGCCGCTAAGGCCAAGCTGCCGGCATACCACGTTCGCATCCCGATCCTCAAAACCATCTTCTGCAGTGTCGAAAGCAAAATGCGACATACCAAGTTCAGCGAGGAGTTTTCTACGTCGTTTGGTTAGGTTATGGTACTCACCGCAGACGGTGCCCCATACCCCATTGTAAAGCACCTCTAGGCGGCCCTGTATGCCACCAGGCACTAAACGTACTGACGCGACTTCTGCAGGGATCGCGGAATGGAACACGGCCGAATCAAAGGTGTTTCAATGCACGCCAGCTGCGGGCTAATGCGTGGCCACCGACGGACCTTGAAGCACCCTGTGTCTGGCATCTTGTGCTGATGCCAAAGCCAGGGCGGCTATGCATCCAAGGATAGCAACGCAAGGCGACGGCCGGAATCGGACCATGCCCGTTATGAACACTCAAGCTGCAGATGCTAACATAAAAAGCATTCACAAATAAATGTGAAAAAAATTTAAACCTTTCGTTCTTTTGGTTTCCAAGTGCCTGCAAGCGTGCCTTGACAGCGCGGGAATTTAACAACGTTGACCAGTAAGATGTTCTATTTAGTTTACAATTAATATATAAGGATGCATTTATCTATATTCGTCTGTACTAAATATAGGCATCGCAGCAATGCAAGCCTGAATAGATTGTACAGTTACTCCGAATGGCGAATGGGTCATGCAGTGCGCATCAACCCGTTCCTTGCTCAAAAGAAATAAATGCCAGGCATTGTGGTAGTTAGGTATGCTTTCGTCACTAGCACCAATCAATGGTATATAAGCGGGATTTCAAACACAAAACAAAACACCTGTAGCATGACATCGGTACAAGGAATCATGGATCAGTCAGCTGTATTAAAAAGTATTGATTTAGACAGCCATCCGCTATTCATTCACAGCAATAGGCAGCGGATTACAACGGCATTGTGGTAAGCAGGCTTTGGCGTTAGAGTAAAACACGACGTAGCCTGCCGGTTCGAACACCGTACCTATCCTGGAAACTGTCCTTGGCGGTAGGCGGCCGGCAGCATCGGTTAAAAGAAAGATCGTCTTCATTCGACAGCTAGCGTAGCTAGACCCTCCTAGCCTTGCATTGGCACCAGTAGACAAAGCAAGCACAGCCCACCGCGGGGAATACGAACCGACTTTACAACCACAAGTGCTTGAATGTAAATGCTCGTCGCTCCGTACCGGACTAGCGTGAAGTGGGCCTTTGCGTCCAGCCTTACACCCGATCCCAATGTTTAATCAGGCCACACCACATCCCAATGCGCTTAATGGGTGGGTGGGAGGGTCTTCGGCTGGTCCGCAAGTTTTAAGCCTTGGGTCCGGAGCGGCGGTAAGATGCTTGCATTTATGACAGGGAAAATTATTGGCTACTCTTGCGTCTTACTGCGGTCTCCAATGCGCGTGGGCGATTTACGCCCTGTTCATCTGCCTACTTGCATCGCGGCTGATCTCCTTCTCCTTAGGTTTAGATTAATTAGATGTAAACCACTGATTCCCGGTTGTCCTGAATGTGCGATCATTCTGATGCGTTTCCGTACCGCTGTCGTGCCCAGGTCGATGGCTTTGCCTTTCTTGGCACTGACGCGCCTAGCTCCGCGCAGCCTTCCTTTGTTCCTGGATGGGGCTTACGTGGCGTGGTGAGGTGTCGCCGAGCTATTGTGTTGTCCTTGCGCTTGCGATAGACGGGCCCGTCTCCCCGCAGGTCCCTCTTCGCACTGGCGGCCTCGGCCTTCATGGGGGTC